TTTAATTATTAATCAATTAGGAAATAACAGAATTATTATTCATGAATTAAAAAATTATCTATCAACACTATCATATGATATAAATTGGAAAAAAAAAATACTATTAACATAAAACGATATAGTTTTACATGTAATGCGTACCATGTCATATAAAAAAAGTAATACATCTATTTTAGAAATATTTGATTCTTTTTTTTTTTAATATTTGAAGTATATTGTTATACTTGCTTTCACTCCAAAATAATTCAAATAAATAAAAAGAAATAAAATAAAATCAAAATACTGAATCACAAGTCATACATGCTTAGACTCTTATAGTCACTTTCTCCAGCCCAACGCCCATTCAGACAACTTAAAAGCAGCAGCAAAAAAACAACCCAAATATTAACTAACCCAACCAAAAGCCCTCCATCACAACCAACACACAAAAAACCAAACCAAAAATAAAACATCCAAATTAAAAAAAAAAATAATAATAAAAGATAAAAAAAATTCAACGGAACAGCTTAATATGAAAACACGAGTTCTTGTTCTCCCAGCACAGCCCGATCTTGTCTTCGGCCTTCATATTCCGGGCGTTCATCATCTCCCCGCACGTTAGCAGGCAGTTCCCGCTTGGCGTCATCTGAAAGTACACATTACTGCCGTCATAGCTCCTCGGCTTCTTCTCGTTCGTCACGTCCCACACGAGCACTGCCACTTTGCGCCCCCACACGGTTATGTTTGTGGCCATCCCGAAATTCCAGTAGCGAAGAATGTGCTCGAACGTGTCGTTAAACGACACGATTACTTTCCCCGAGGCTATTTCGTAGTGGTTTAAGGCTTTCTTGATCGGCCACGGGTCCCGAGGGTCGATCTCGGGTGGCGGGTGCACGTCCCTGATCTCGACCAGCATTCGTTGGAGTCGTGGCCCGAATGCTGAGCTGGCTGCAGCAGCCGCATACCTCTCCTCGTCCTCCTTCACCGGGAAGAAGTTGTAAAGGTACGATTTTTTCATTGTGGTGTAAGTGATTAAAGTCATTATTATTGTTATTGGTTTTTTTTTTTTCTCTATGATTGATTGGTGGTGTGATTCGAGCCTTTTGGAAATATGTTGCGGTATTTATAGCGAGCTCGAGAGCGAGCCCCTGCCTGTTTAGGAAGATTTGACGTGGGAATTTTTTGTGACTGGTGAAAATCGTGAATCCAATTAGGATATGAGAATGCTGCATGTCTGATTAGGAGAATTAAGTTTTTTTCGAAAATTTGGTGTCATTTACCAGGTTAGATATGGATTTTTTGAAATTAAAATGGCAATTATGGATGGCTTTGTTCCGGTTACTTAAAAAGGCTCGTGTTTATTTCCCTACGAAAAAAGTCCTGGATTCTTATTGTCACCGGCTCATAGCCCTGGATTTTTGTGCATTTGTGCCGTTGATTTTCATTTACTTAAATTCCTTCTAGGGCCCTGCGGTGGTTGGTGGTCACTGGATTTATGTCTTAAATAGAAAATGAGATAATGAGTCGTATATTAGTTGTATATACTATATAGTTTGTTATTTTAATTTAGTGCAAAAAAAAAAAA